CAATTTGAAACACAACTCCAATATTTATCGTATATATAGTGTGGTTGCAGCACAGGTACCAAGATGAAACATGGAGCCACATGTCAGGTAATCTTCACTGGTTATTTTCCACCGCAACTTTAATCAGTGACATTTCTTGTTCTCTGTAGTTGTTTGCACCAACGTCTCCTTCAGGGAGAGCGTCCACATCTTCCTCCTCGTTTGGCTGTGATGGGACATCCATCAGAGAAGGGAGGCTCCCACCATGGATGCCTTTACCCCTCTGCAGAAAACCGTCAGGTCCATCACCCTGAGAGCCTTTAAGAGGTAAATACTGTTTCTTTACTGGAGTGTCTGCAGGCTGGTGAATCTCAAGATCCTCCGCACTCATCCTGTGAAAGTGGGAGAAAGTTCAATCTCAAGTTTTGCAGTGGCTGCGCTGGTTCTGAACTGGACACGAGGGATGAGATATAAAAAAGAATACTAGTTAACCTCATGTCAAATGTGGAGCCTTTGAAAGCTGGTGTGAGAGTCTCTGCTGCTGTGGACAGGGTGTAAGGGATGGAGAAATGTCTCTGTGCCCAGTGCTTGTCCTTCACAATTGGAGCCAGGTTCTGGTACATATCGTCCACTGCCAGCATGGACACCTACAGGAGAGAGGGAGAGAACTGAAATGAGTCCAGTCAGGACTTATTCCAGATGTTTACAGTGGTCGCAATGGAGAGAAACCTTGAGGGGAAAAACCTGAATGTTTCGGTCGATCAGCTGGTTGGTTTCAAAGTCATCATCGTCCTCGCCAAACGGATTGATGATCAACTCCCCCACCTACAGAAAGGACACACAGTGAAGTCACTCTGTGTTCACAAAGAATCTAAACAAAATCTGTTCCCACAAGTGATCCATGAGCGTGCTGTGTTACCTTGAGCCAGCCGGTGTAGAAGAAGAACTGCAGCAGAGTGAAGACAGGGACGTACATGTCCAGGGTGTGATTCTCGTATCCCTTCTCTGGGTTCAGGAATTGTCGGCCAATCAAGCAGAAGGCGAAATACGAGTAAACTGCAATAGTAACAACCTGCACAGGTGAACAAGGTCAGAGGTGGTGGAGATTAGTTTTGTTGAATGAAAATATATTTTTTATCATTTATTACAGGGCTGCAAATAATGATGCAACCACATAACCAGTAGTTTGTTTGGTTCAGAAAACTTAAGAAACTAGTGACGAAATTCCCATGAAATCAGCCAGACTGATATCTTTACACTAATAAATAAAATAAAGCATATTCTCACATTTGAGAAGCTGGAACCATCAAATTCATTTATTTAAGTTTTGTATGAAAAATGTTTTTAGGATGTAAAATCTTAATTTGTAAAGTACAGGTGACAGAGGAGTGAATGTAAAACACAACTGTAGTTGAATAGAAGTAAAATATGGAAAGTCCGTTATAAGTAACTCTGAATATAAAAGTATAAGAACTTGATACAGTACTTGAGTAAATATTCTTGGGTACATGGTTCTTCCTACCTGAGTGTAGACCAGAGGAATGCTTATCCAGTCATAGTGAAACAAGAGGCTGCACTTGGCTCTGTACTTATTAAGCTCCTGCAAACACAGTAGAGCAGATTACAGTTAAAATATATATTTATTCACATGTTGTGGTTGTATTTTTCTGTTTCCTATTCGTACTTTATAAGATATAAATTGTACAGTTGCTTTGTTTGTCTGCAGAATCACTCACATCCATCAGAAGCCTCAAAGCGATGTCGTCCCTCACTCGTCCCTCCTCTCTGGCTCTGGATGCCAGGTTTGAGAACCACGTCAGAGGCATCCAGTACTTGTTGAAGTCCGAGTGCAGCGACTCAAACTTTTTCAGCTCATGTGTCGTCATGAATCCTTTACACAGATCCGACATTTTGATTATCAGGAGTAAAAACAAATATTTGTCATTCAAAGAGTTCTAAATTGAATATATCAGACTGTTATACACAACAAAAAAGAGACACTTTAATGGTTTAATTGTGAAAAGTTTAGACAACTTGAAGGAAGAATACAAATTTCAGATGCAATCAGGAGTTTTAATTGTACTTACAACTAAAAAATGTCAGTGTTTTCTCACATTATATACTTTTTATAAGCAAAACCATGTTGTGCAAAGTAACTTTTATCTTCTGGTGAAATGTAGTGAAATTAAAACAGAAGGTTTTATTTGGAAAGTGGGAAAAAAATATCACAAAGTCTCTGAGCCAAATGTTATGAAATGAATAAAAGAGTAAAAGTTATAGTTTTCCTCTCACCAGCTTCTACAACGTGCTCCAACGTGGGAAACCGCTTGTGAACTCTGGTGCTTATGGAGCGGAGAATAAGAACTGAAGACAAGTTGGCGTATCTCATGAGTGTTCGTCGCAGCAGACGTCCCCTCTCGTCGGCCCCGTGGACGTTTCCAGACACCACCATCATCAGGTTGTCGGGCAGCGGGAAGCTGGTGTACTGACCCCACCAACGATTGAAGGCCAGGGTCACATAGAAACCTGGAACAAATAAAACAAAGTAAAATGAGTTGACCTGCAGCGTCTTCTCATTCGACTTGTTAAAGACACATCCAGTTCAGTCACACTTACCCAGTACAAATAAAACTGGGATGAAGTTGGTGTTGGTGAACTGGTCACAGTAAAGGGCGATCCGCTCAAACAGATCCTGCTGCTTTGGTGTGAGGAGGAACCTGGGAAGCAAATAAAACAGTCAAACAGTAAAACCTGATCATAATGCAGCTGATATTAGGATCAAAACATATTACAAGTGAGTTTATTTGCCTGTAAAACAAACTGAAAAACAGATAAACGCCACAGAAAACCAGAAGATCCTTGTAAAGCAGCCGGTAGATGCTTCCTCTCCATCTGAACAGCAGCTTGGAGAAACCACCGAACCTCACGTTGGCCACCTCCAGTGTGTAAGAGACTGTCATGTTAACTCTGTGCAGACAAGTCCTGCAAGGTGATAAAAATACATGTGATAGAGCATATTAATATATCATAACTTTATAAGATGAACTCATTAAGAAAAACAAAATCCAGATGTGTCTCACCTGTGATGCAGGAGAGTCACTGTGTGCTGGGAAGAGAAGTTCTTCCTCTGTTGGGTTTCAATTTAAACGTCTCTGTTGTGCAGCCATAAATTTACATCTTAGATTTATTACCTGGGAACTTCGTGTCTAAAGAGATAAACACCTACAGCTACTGAAACTGCACGGGAGTAACCTCTATATAAAGTTATGTGGAGGTTCCCAAATATTATATAAGATTGATTATTGATTCATATTGTTGATTGATTATGCTGTGTCCATGTTAACCCTGGTGGGTGTGGGCTTGTCATAGTTTTAAACATTTAATTTGATGAAGATCTCAACTATGAAATAAGAACTAGCAAACTTATTTCCTCGTTAGAGTTTAAATCCATTCATTTTGAATAGGAGGCCAGCTGATTGTTGTCAAGCTGCTAAAATGAAGATTTACAGTCACCTACATAATTAGTTTGATGGTTTATTTATTTTAAAGCATCTAAAGAATTTAACGCACCTCAGAGTAACTTGTTGGGGTAAATTCATTGCTGTAATTTATATCTAATCAACTTTATTACCAGCCGGTTTCAAGCCTTTAAATCTCCATGTTTTATGCTGTTGCCTTCATAGTCATATTTATATTTTAGAGGTGTATTTTATATAAATTATTTCTAGACATCCAAAGGATTTGCGTTGATATATATTCTTCACATGTGCTTTACAAATAAACTCAGTACTCTGTTATCTGAGCCAATAGAATGTCCCCGCTTTAGAAAATCAAACAAATCACACTCTGATATTTACTGTTGTAACCAAACATCTCTGCAGGGTTGAGGTCGATGGACAGAAGGGTCCGTCCCACATGTCTCTCAGCCTTTGTCATTGGCTGCTGTCTTCCACTCATTGTTTGTCTTTCACAAGGTTACAGCCGTCCACTGTAAATCGGACTCTTTTTTTTTTTTACCAGCTGTGTTTTATTGTCCGAGTGTGTTTGCTCTCCTCTGACTGGATATTTATGAGGTTGTCACCTGTCCTCCATCAGAGAGTGGACTTCCCTGTCCTCCCTCTGTAAGTGTCACTCAGCTGCAGGAGACGGATGAGTCTCAGAGTTTGTTGCACTTATTATCAGCAGGTTTATGTGTGAGCCACAATAATATCTTTTCACTATATGAGCTTCATGATTACCTTGTAAATGTTAGTTTCCATTCCAGTCACTAGATGGCGCTCTTGGGATGCGCAGCATGGTTCCGGCCCTCAGGCTTCAGTTTCTGTTTTTGTCTCATAAACACAGAAGCTCAAAGTTATTTACATTGACAGAAAACAACACAAATAACATATGAAGCGTCCAAGAGAAGAAAGTTATTTAAGTTTATTATTGCTCTAAAACTTGGTCTCATACGTGAGTGAAACTATTTCACTTCAGGAAATATTTCCACTTTAAATATCTGAGTGTGATTTCTGTGTATCAGATGGGAGGACAATGGTCGGTCTGTGATCTCCATCTAGATGAAATTCACTCCCAGATTAATCCATGGATACTCCAACAACAGTCATTTCCTGCCCTCAGCCACTGGATACTGGTCGGGGGCCTGAAAACCTCTGAGAACAGGTCGGCGAGAGCAGCTCCGTGCTGATCGCTATGGTAACCCAATGCAGTAATTACAACTTCCCACGGTGAGTGAAATCAGAGCTCAAAAGAAAAGTAGGATTCCAGGTAGCTGGGGCCGACCTGGGTCATTGTGGGGGCAGACAGAGCGGGGGGGCCACAGAGAGAGATCAAGTGAAAAGATCTTGAGCAGTGAACTCATGACACAGTTTGGTTCTTTTGTTGTGCTGGTAAACATCAACGTTGAGCAGAAATCTCTCAATTAAAAAGCATTTCTTTATTTAAGGTGTTGCATTTAAAAACAATCAATCAAGTGCATCTGTCAGTACAAACACAAAGATGAAAATCAATGGTTTTATTAAATGTCACAGCAGTTTACCCATTTTCTTTTTTTACAAGGAGGAATTCATGTTACTGTGTGTGTTTAAAATAAAATGATGCCATATTTCACTTTTCCAATCCGAGGATTTTGGAAATACGGAGGTCATTGGTTCCTCGCCACACAACATTCAAGATCCAGTGTCAGAAATTAAAGATAATATTAATAATCATAGAATTAAAAATGATTTTTAAGTGTCTAATCACCTGAAAGTAAGAATCATTGTGTTTTCATGAGTCATTTCTATTTACATCTGGAGAAAGTCTTCTTCCACAAAGTCCGTTATTTGCACCTCCATGTTTCTCCAGCTGCTCAGAATGGACGAACCAGAGGAGCTCAGTTGGTTATAACAACTGGCAACTGATATTTGATCATAAATAGACAAATTGATGTAATTTAAGGTTTGGTTTAATGGACGCTAGATATATGATACAGTATGATGTGTAAAGACTTGAGGAGAAAGAAGAATTGTTCTTGTGCAGCAGGTTAAAGAAGTGGAAGTCTTGTTTATAGTTATTACGATTGAGCTCTTTTCACTTTTTAACCTTTAAAAATTAAATATCTTGCAACATGTAAAAAATTCCGACATGGCTTCGTTGGCTTGTTTACAATTACTGAGCACCATCGAGTTGCAAAATTTAGTAAACGACCCCCTGGAAGCTAAAACCCCAGAGCTCCTCTCACAATACCCAGAAAATAAAACAAAGAATCAGTATCTTTGGAGAAATCTGTGCAGAGATTCTACCAAAAATCTAAACTTTTCCTTCATTCGTCAGTTTTTTTAACCTTAACAATGTTAAATAATTAAGGCTTTGATGGAAAATATGTGCAAACCCGTCTGGAAAACACCCGTCTTCTAAGGAAGCTCCACGCCCTCCACTGCACCCTCGCTGCCTCCGTCTCACTGAGCACAAACCAATCAGCGTTCAAAGCCAACGAGTGTGACAGTGAGAACCGTCAGTTCTCCACAGTCTTAGATTACAAGTGTCTGCATTGTCGTGATGACACCGATGAATAGTTTTGTTTTCTGTTTATGTTTCCTCTTCAGTCTGCACAGATCTGCTCTGCATCTCAGTTCACTGTGCAACTTCAGATTTGTATCTAGCATTTAGATCTAAACAGTTCTACACAGCATTTGTGCACGTTTTAGTTTGTGCTACAAAGCACGAGCATGAATCAGTCCTGTGATACTTGCTTAGACTCATGACTTATATAATTTTAGACTTCCCACCCAAGCGTCACATTCCACATTTCCTATTGAATTAACTGTGGGCATAGTGACGGGAGTTGTTCACCTATATTTCTAGTTTTGCAGCTTCTGGTGAATGAGTTGGATCCAGAACGTCCTGTATGAGAAACCATAGAGGAATGCATATGGGATAGGTGAAGGAAAGTGATGTACAAAAACTGGTTTGACGTTGACAAAGCACAGGAATTAAACAACACGTCCTGTTCTTTGCAGACCTGAAACATCAAGTGTAGGTTTGCACGGAGCGAAGCGTTAAACAGAAACAAACACAAATGGAGGTTATCAGTTTTTTCCAGAGAGAAGAGGTGGGCCTCCCTTTCAAACAGTCAGTGCGTCACCTCAGGTCCCACAGGAAAAGCTCCGGATTAAATCACTTCCTCTTACATTGTGATACCACAGTGGTCGGACCACGCTGTCTCTGTGTCGACAACTTTTACTGACACACACACACACAAACACGCACTCAGTCTCTCTTTAGTGCATTGAAATTTGTATTTTTGCGAAATACTCATTCACCTTGAATTACACGACACAACCAGTGTGACTCTTGTGTCTGTGAGTTCGTATGAAGCCGAGGATGACTAGCTTAGCTTAGCATAAAGAGTGGTAGCAGGGGGAAACAGCTAGCGTGACTGATGCCGCGTTCGATCATATTGCAACAGGAGGACAATGGCTAGCTGGCTAACGTAAACATTGTTCCTGTGTAAGTGGAACGCTAAAAATTTGGATCCCGTTAAGCTACTAAGCTAATTTAGTAGCTTAATAAATCTATGCTAATAATAGATATTTTTTCCTTGTACTGAGATACAGTGAGCCATTAACTGATCACATTCTTCAACTTGGGGCAGTTCGAGGCTAGTTTCCCATGTTGTCATTATGCTAAGCTAGGCTACTTAAAGGTCCCAAAAAACATGGTTTCAAAATGTTTGTATAAAATTAAATATTACAACCAAATAAGCAACGGAGTTTAAAAACACGTGTGTGTGTAATCTCATGTGTAAAAATATCAAACATGTTTTACCACAAACACGTGAGTGGTGCTGATCTTTAGCAAAGAAAAGCCAGTAATTCTATTTCCCACAATGTTGAACTATTCCTTCATGATGGTGTCACGAGAGGCTGACGTTCTCATACTCTCCGTGGTCTGAGTCCTCCAGCTCGATGCCTGGAACCAGGCTGTAGTATTCAGTGGACTGGGTCATGTACGCCTTCTCCCTGTCGGCTGAGTCTTTCATCACCTCCGTCACGCTGACCGTGTCCAGCTCTGTCTTACTGACTCCGTTGGGCTCCTCGGGGCCCTGCTTCCCGTCTGTGGAGCTGGAGCAGGGAAGAGACTCCACTGAGCCCAGCTTGATCTCCACCTCCTCATAGATGTCTCTGGTGCTGCCCAGGAGGGTGGAGGCCGGACGTAGCAGCAGCTGGTTCTTGAGGATCCCCGCAACGCTTCCGGCTTCCCTCTGTTCAGCGGCTGCAGGCGGATGCTTGCCGTGAGGTTTCTGGCCGTTGCTGCTGGAGTTGGACGCCTTCTTCTTAGGGGTGCTGAACACAGGCGCCTCTCTCTTCCTCCTCTTCCTCCCACAGCACCAGCAGAGCACCAAGGTGGCGAGGATGAGGAGCGGAAGCACGATGAAGAGTGCGGTGAGGCCAGCGGGGCGGCACACGTCACCGATCCTCACTGACCACACGTCCCTGTCAGCCAGGTGAGCCGGAGAGACGCAGGTGACGTTCCTCACCAGATCCTGGAGCTTGGTGGTCCTGTTGGCCTTCATGCCCCCCTCCAGCGCCTCCAGGAGCGAACAGGAGCAGTCCCAGGGGTTCCCCTCCAGCTCCAGCCTTTGCAGATCTGTTCTCTGCAGCACGGACTTGGGGAGGAAGCGTAGCTGGTTTCCCTGAAGGTGCAGCACCTGAAGGCTGTCGGAGTCCTGGAGGAAACCCTCAGGAAGCTCCTGAAGCAGGTTCCCGCTCAGATCCACCTCCATCAGGCTGGGCTGGCCGGACAGAAACTCCCTTGGCAACGTTGTGAGTCTATTATGAGCTAAGTAAACCTTCTGCAGGGTGGAGGCCTCTTTGCTGCTCACATCAACAGAACTGATATTACAGTTGGAGAGGTCCACTGTCTCTATGTTTGTCTCATTGGTAAACACAGACCAGCGCACGTGGCTGAGAGCAGAACCAGAGTAGTTCAGGCAGCAGATGCCAGCAGGAATCTCAGAGGGAAACTGGGACAAAATGGTGGCTGCTGGACACACGCATCCAAGGACCAGTCCCGTCTTCACCTGCAGCGTGAACATCAGCAGGAGACTCCACCGGGAAACCATCTCTGAAACGGGAAACACAGCCAAACTCAGAAAAAGCTGATTTATCACGTCAGAATTGACCTTTTCCTCAGTCCTATACCTGCCTCCTGGTCTCAGCGCTGATCCGCACACTGATGTTAATACACCTGTAAACCTAACAACCTCTCGGAGGACTCCTGGTTGCTGTGAGGATCGTAGGAGTTGGCATGGCGATGCCGGTCACTGGGGATCAGGAGTCCAGTGTTTGGCTGTGGGAGAAGAAACAGATGCTGCTGTGACTTTAGTTAAAGGCTGCACCGTTAATCGTCATAAGGGAGTGAAACAAACATTACTCGATGGTAAAGCTGCAGACAAACCAGCTTCAGTATTTTAATTCAGAATCCGACCTTTTAGTGGTTGTGTATAATTAGGGAATAAACCAGAGACAGTTTTATTATCTGACTGTGCACACCTGTGATTACTCCAGAACATGAATATAAAGTAAATATAAAATGCAACCTGTAAATTGCACCAGAATGTTTTTGTATAAATATTATGGATGCATTAAAGATACATGATAACATGCACTGAGAATAAATGTCAGGACACATGAAAAAATGATGTCAAATTGTAAATTTCACGATGTAGAAATCAAACCTGTGACTAATCTCAGGGTTTCAGTGGTTGACAGTTCGTGACATGACGACATTTAGGAAACTCTTCTGTTTGAGACAGAAAAAAAACTAATTACTTGGGTGACGCACATAAAAGCACATGTGGTCGACATAAACAGCGCCTGTGTTTTCCAAATGAGTGGCGCGTGAGACAGAGACAGAGTTCAGTCAACTTCATCATCACCCACAATAGAGCTGAGAGCTGCTCTGCAGTGAGGGGGCAGGAATGTGCCCACTCCCCAACAACAGGGTCAGTTCTTCAGTGGAGGGTTGAAGAGGACTGTGGTTGTCAGCTGGAGCCTGTTCGTGATCAACCTGACCTGATCCCCACTCACCAAACCTCACTCCACCTGCTGACGGTGACACTTCACAGCAGCAGATGGACGTAAACTGACCTCAGGCCGAGAAACGCAGCATAAATCATATTCACACACTGAACTCAACAAATCTCATCACAACCGTCAACTAACAGTGGAAACTATTCACTATTAAAACAAAGTGTATCACAGATGATTTAAAAATAAACAGAGATGAGATCATGTTTGGCAGATTTATCGATGATGAAAATAATTATTATTTGGAGCAGATGAAACAACAGAAACGTAATGAGGTGCGGCTACTTGATGAATAATGTTCAGATACTGTGATTTTATATTCTGCCCATTGTTTCAGCCCATCTGGGAGAAAATGGGACGTATGATGTAATAAATATTGGCTTTGTGAGTATTGACGCTTCTTTGCAAATATGAGGGTTAAATAAGAATCTGTCTCCTGGACTATTGTCCTCTAGACACTTTGCACAGACCAGTCCTTTAAAGGAAAAATCACTTTTAACCTGTAAGATAGGATGAAAAGCACTGACTGAAAAGAGAGTCACAGAAAGAAGATGATGTTTAAAGCTTTTCTTTGTCACACAGGCTTCTGTTCTCAACAGTGGAACTTTCAGCTTAACTCCAAAGTTAGTAAG